GGCTTTCCTATGGCCGATCTTCGCTAGACCACGTCGATTCTTCCCCATTGGAACACATTAAACAGGTTTCAATGCATTCCAATGGGGAAATGCTTTTCACTAGACGATGGTTTCGTTAAACAGCTATTTCAGTGGAACGGATTATCATTGTCTAGCGAGGCACCACTGTATGTATTTGCACAATGTCATCAGCAGAACTGACCGCTAAAAGGGAGCCAGAGACCATGCTAGATAAAATAATAAATAAATAATATAAACAATTCAACTTCAAAACTCACAGACAGCCCTAGGAAAAACATCTCTTTGCCATGGAGAGTTGTGGTTGATCTGCCATAACAACGCTATTGAGTAAGAGAAGAGGGTCCATATATACCTGAATGGCAGAGAACCTGCTGTGTCTGCGGAAAGTTGAATTTTTCAACCCTTGATCTCTAGTGACAGGACTGTCTCTGCCCCTCAGAGTAGTTAATACCTACTGTTCTAAATAGCCTTCTTTTATTATTTATTTATTTATTTATTTATTTATTGGATTTGTATCCCGCCCATCTAGGCTACATCTACTCTGGCTGGCTTACATCAAAAGCATGAAAAACAACATATAAACAACTAAAACGACAATTTAAACCATTAATATTAACATTATTAGTGGCATTCGAGACGGAAAAGCAAAAGGGGAGTTAGGATAGAAAAGAAAATCATGTAAGGACCGGAGGGAAGGCCTGCCTAAAAGATCCAGGTCTTAAGTCTTCTTACACAGCACATTCCATCTAGAGTGGGAATTACCTCTCCTTTGGCATTGGCATCCTCCACGATCTGCAGAAAGCGCTGGATCTGCTCCGGAGACGGCGGGCAGAAGTCCGCAATGCGAAGACGGTGCACCTGGATGCCCGGGCAGGTGTCGTGGTGCGGAGGGCTGCGCTCGGTGAGCGAGACCAGGTGCCGGATCCCATTCTCATACATATACTGGTAGTGCGCAGGTAGGCGGGGCATGGCCAACCCTGCCAACCGGCCTGGTACTACCCAGGAGAAATTCGGTGGCACCACAGATGCCATGAGCCCTGTAAGAAGACACATGGAGAAAAGTAAGTGGTACGCTGAAGACGTCTCCTTTTCCCCGACAGACGGCCCTCTGCACTAGTTTTGTCTCAAAACTCTACTGTCTGCTGACGCCAACCCTGTTTCGGCCACATACCCCTCCTTTTGGGGTGGCAGGTGCGCGTTACCTCCCCAGATCTGGCTGTCAAAGCACCAGAGGATTACGGAATCATAGCATTGCCAGGGCCCATCCCTCCATACCGGCCGCAGGTATCAGCTAGGATTAAGCAGTCCTCAAACAGAAGCAGCTGCAATGAGAAGACAATGTCTGGTTAAAAAAAAAACAAAATAAGACACAGGACGAGAGCTATGCCAAGAGAGGAAGGGAAGGGCCAGAGAGATCTCCGGTTATTTTCTTTGCAAGTATTAAATGGAGCGAGGTACCTACGTCAACAAGAGGCACTAAAGCAAACAGGCCCTTCGTACATCTTTTATTTCAAATCAAATGAATTTATTGTCATTGTAAGTCTATACATAGTATGTACACCCATACAACAAAATTCACACAGACACCGAGAGACCAGACCCACATGCACACACACACACACAAAATTCCCAAACACTCCCACTAAAAATCAACAGAAAGTACACATTTCTGCTGTAAACCACTCAAAACAGTGCATTGCAAGAACAGGATGGTACAGTGGTGCCTCGCATAGCGATCGCTCCGTATAGCGACAAAATCGCTTTGTGATGGAGTTTTTGCGATCGCAAAAGCAATCGCTTTGCGATGGTCCCTATGGGCTATATTCGCTTTGTGATGATCGCAGGGAAGCGATCATCGCAAAGCCTCCATTTTCGGCCAGCTGATCGGCAGTTTCAAAATGGCCACCGGGTAAACAAAATGGCCGCCCACTGTTTTCAGGCACGGATTCCTCGCTGTAGAGCCACCGAAAATGGCAGCGCAAGGGAGGATCTTCGCTTAAAGGTGAGTTTTAAGCCCATAGGAACGCATTAATCGCGTTTTAATGCGTTTCTATGGGTTTTTTATTTTCGCTTAGCGATGTTATCGCTTAGCAGCGATTTTTTCGACACGAATTAACATCGCTAAGCGAGGTGCCACTGTATATAAATCAGTGAAATAAATGCTGATGGATCACTTCGTTCTCCTACTCCGCAAGGGGTGTGTGTGTCTTATTCTCCACACGTTTCTTTTTCAAAAGCTAGAGGCATTATTGACTCAAAATGCTTTTTATTCCTGTGCCTGTTGTCCCCAGCAGACAGGCCACAAGGCTAAGAAGAGAGGGGAGGAAAAAGCCAGGATAAACCTTTAGGAAGCAGCTGTGATGGTCAGATTTCAGTTTTGAGATGCAGAGAGGAGGAAGAATTAGGTCCTCCTCTTCACGACTAAGTAACAGAACAACATAGGTGCAGGAAGGGCAAATGCTTCTATTGATATTATGTATTTTAACCTATTTTTTAAATAAAATGTCACTTAAGGTCCTTAAAATTTACCTTTGGAACTAGACAAGGGTGCGCCTTGTCTATAATTCCATTTGATTTGATTCTTGAATTGTGGGCGAATGAGTGGTCGCAAGACCGGATAGGCAGGATATGAATGAATGAATGAATGAATGAATGAATGAATGAATGAATGAATGAATCAATCAATCAATCAACGGAATAGGATATAAAGAGAAAATCAAAATGAGTTTATTTGCAGATGGCGCATTAACCCTAGAAGATGGTTGGAAAAGGTGTGTGTGTGTGTGTGGGGGAAACTAATTAAAAATGTAGTTGTGGAGCATGACTAATGATAGAAAAAATATTGGAAAATTAAATATCACTTTTAAATATGTAACTGGTATAAGGCTTTAGTTATCCCTGATTCTACTTGGTTACTTTGTTTTGCAAACACTCCTGTGTAAAAACCCAGCACAGACGAGGTTGAAGGGCTTTGAAAATAAGAGAAGGGAGCAGGATTTGGCCCCACTGAGGAGGAGGAGGAGAGGGGGGCGCCTCCTTCCCAGGGCAAGTATGGAAACAAAAATACCTGTTTGTGTACTTTGTATGATTGCGAATTTGTGGGTCGCCCCCCGGAGTGGTGGCTTTTGCCCCCTTAGTTGGGCTGGATAAATAAATAAATACATTTTTTAAAAAAAAATGATTTGGATCATATTAGATTGCATGATTTGTTAGCTCCTATTTTACTTAGTGCCATTCATTTTAATTCAATGAAAATAAATAAATAAATAAATAAATAAATAAATAAATAAATAAATAAATATACGCTACCAAATCAATCAATCAATAAATAAATATTCACAACTAAATAAATAAATAAATATTCACAACCAAATAAATAAATACATAAATAAATATTTACAACCAAATAAACAAAGTGGCTGCATATATGAGAACTCATAATTAAAGAGCTACATGGGACCCATGGATCATCAAGTCTAGCCCTTGTCAAGGAGGCACAGTGGGGAATTGAAATTCCAGCCTCTGACTTCACAGCCAGAGACCTAAACCACTAATCCATCCAGCAATTCTATGAGGATCATTCATATCTAAGTTTGTTAAGTTAAGGCTGTGGTCTGCTCCGCCTATTACCATCTGAGGCAGATTGCCCAGCTGTGTCCCTGCCTTGACACCAGGTCCCTCACCAAATTGGTCCAGGCACAGGTAGTCTCAAAATTAGACTACTGCAATGTTCTCTACGTTGGGCTACTAATGAGACTGTCACAGTAAGTTCAACAGATTCAGCAAAAAAGTGGCTCATGATATTCTGATTAACAAGTGAGGTATGGTCTGGCTAGAACAACAGTCAAGTGGATACACAAGTAGCTACAGAATCATACTCAGAGTGTGATGATTAATGGCTCCTTCTCCAACTGGGAAGAGGTAACAAGTGGGGTACCCCAGAATTCAGTCCTCTGTGCAGTGCTCTTCAGCATTTTTATTAATGACCTGAATCAGTGAATACAGAGAATAGTAATCAAATTTGGGTGGGCTCCCCTTTCTTCCTCCCCTTTCTCGCCTCCCAACAGCCCCCCCTGCGAGGTAGGCCGGTTGGAGGGAGAAAGAGAGATTTAGCCTTAGGGTCGGTCCTCCCCCCCTCCAAACCTTGGCCCTCCAGATGTTCTTGGACTACAACACCCAGAAGCCTTCACCACCATCTCTGCTGGCCAGGATTTCTTGGGGGGGGTTGGGAGTCCAAACACATCTGGAGGACCAAGGTTTGTTGGGTTTTTTTGGAGGGGGGGCACCCCTGCCTTACGAGGTTCACGGCGCCCGAGCTTCGGCCGGGACTCGAACCCGGGTCTCCCACCACGTCCTTGCCCCCATATTTCTTTCTTTCCTCTTGTTTCTCTTCCCGCAAATGCCAGGCCCCTTGTGCGGGTCTCCCCTTGATCGCATCGCAGCGACGCCTAGTTCCTGATGGAGTGGATGTCTGAATCCCCATCTGCCAAGACAGCTTCCCATTATAGACCAGTGGTTTGAACTGGTGTCCATTGGGAGTTGCAGTCTGAGAACACTTCTGCAACTCCCAGAAGAGTTTACCAGTCCTCTCTGCGCTGGCTCAGGTTTCTGGGAGTTGCAGAACATCCAAGATTGGGAACGACTGATAAAAGACGATTTTGCCTGCCCACCAACCCCAAAATCCGGATTTTTCAGCCTTTGCCCCATTTTCTCTGTTAGGATGTCTTTTTTTCCCAAAATAGAGTATATGTGGGTCTCCGTATATTTTGCAAAGGGGAGGCTGCGTTGGTAAAGGATAGAAGAGTTCGGACAACAGTTGGGGAATGGGGAGAGGTTTTGACCGAGAAACCCAGGAGGCTGTTAGGGTTAAATATCCTTAAAAGAGAAAAGGTAAGGTACAGGAAGGGGATGATGAAAAGAAGAAGGACTTTTGGGGATGTGCCGTAGAGCACCGGTCCCCATCCTTGGGCCTCCAGATGTTCTTGGACTTCAACTCCCAGAAATCCTAGCCAGCAGAGGTGGTGTGAAGGCTTCTGGGAGTTGTAGTCCAAGAACATCTGGAGGCCCAAGGTTGAGGACCACTGCCGTAGAGGGACTCACATCTTCGTACTTAGGGCGGCTATTTTTCATGCACAGGGTCCAGCCATTGGCTTTCTTGGGGTTCATGCTGGGTTTCTCCTAATCATATCCCACTGTATGTAGAGGTTGACCGAGATACTTTCCATTGTGTTACCATACAACAACTTTCCCCAGATTTTCTTAAATAGGTAGCTCTCTGCCCTGAACAGATACTTATAAAGGATCCCACAGACGGGCTGGTCTATAACAGATTAAAGACTACTATTCCTAATCGAATCTTTCCATGGGAATGCAGACCCGACCAAGTACGAGCACAAATCGAACCCGAAATTATTTTCTTCTGTAGCCTTTTGGTGCCTTCTTCCCACTGGAGTTATCAAAAATGGCCGTTCTAGACTAGAGTTTGCTGTTTCGGTCTTAAATACTCTTCCCCGTCCTGTCCCCCCATCCTTCCTGAGCCTTTCTCGTTGGGTCACCAGTGCCTCCCTCGGCATCTTCTCGTCCTTTCCAGATGAAGCTGATCGTTGTTGCTGTGCTGTTGCTCTTTTCTGGTGCCCGGTGTGAAGAAGGCGCCAGACTTCTGGCCTCCAAATCGCTGCTGAACAGATATGCTGTTGAGGGCCGGGATCTCACTCTGCAGTACAACATCTATAATGTCGGCTCCAGGTAAATTTCGGGTGGGGAGGCGCGAGCGTGGACTTTATTATAGCTCCGTGCAAATCTGGAAACAGATACCTACAGTGGGCTATCTGGCTGAATGAACAAACACATGCCTACTCATTTCTCTTTCCCCAGGGAGTGGGGCTTTTACCCTCAAGTAAACTACACTTGTTATAGTGGCAAACAATTCTCACAGTTGCCCAAACAGTGACTTTCACATCCATTTAAGATTTGGTATGTTGGATGAACTCCTGGATAGCTCAGTGGTTTAAAGAAAGGCTGGGAGTTCAGTTCCCCACTGCACCTCCTTGATGCGCCTTGTTGATCTGTCAAGTCCCTCCCAGCTCTGCAATTCTATAATTATTATTGCAGAAAGGTAAAGGTTCCCCTTGACAAATTGTCCACTCGTGTCCGACTCTAGGGCGCGGTGCTCATCCCCGTTTCCAAGCCGTAGAGCCTGAGTTTGTCCAAAGACCGTTTCCGTGCTCACATGGCCGGCGCGACTAGACACAGAATGCCATTACCTTCCCACCGTGGTGGTACCTATTTATCTACCCGCGTTTACATGCTTTCAAACTGCTAGGTTGGCAGGAGCTGGGACAAGCGATGGAAGCTCCCTCCATCGCGTGGATTCAGACTACTGATCTTCTGGCCTTGCAGCCCAGAGGCTTCTGCAGTTTAACCTGCAGCGCCACCACGTCTCTTATTATTGCAGTTGTTGTTGTTTAGTCATTAAGTTATTGCAGTTGTTGTTCATTAGTCGTTTAGTCGTGTCCAACTCTTTGTGACCCCATGGACCAGAGCACGCCAGGCCCTCCTGTCTTCCACTGCCTCCCAGAGTTTGGTCAAATTCATGTTGGGTTCATGAATTCAATTATTGCAGTAGGACCCCCATATTCCCAGAATCAGTATCTACAGTTTCACTTCTCTGCAGACTGAATAGGTTAAAAAAGAAAAGAAAAAAAACAGTAATAACATTGTTGCTGTTGGAAGTGAGGTGGGGAGGGTTGTCCGATCTCTCCAGGGATTGCTGGGTTGGAGGACGGCTGGTCATTGTGCTGTTTGAAAGCTACAGCGAGATCGATCTCACCTCCTATTCTCCAGAGGTCTCGATCCGGGTGATCAGGGCAGTTCCAGTGTTAGAAGCCAGAGTAGGACCCAGATTAAAAGCCGTCTTAGGGCAGCTTCCTCCACAAATCCTGAAGTGATGGCTTGTTCACAATTTTGTCATTGAATGAATGAATGAATTTTGTCATTGTGACCTCCCTTTTCTGCTCCACGACGCAGTGCTGCCTTAGAAGTGGAGCTGTCGGACGATTCCTTTCCTCCAGAAGACTTTGGCATTGTTTCGGGAATGCTCAACGTCAAATGGGATCGCATCGCACCGTATCCTTCTGTGGACGTTGTTCTTGTTAGGATGTAGAGAGTTCGAATTCTGTTTCAAAAAGGCAGTTGTGCTTAAAAACGAAAAAGCACACCACGGGGCTCCTGCAAGATTTAACAAAATTGATCTGCTTGCCCGCTATCAAGTTAAGTAGTGAAGCTAATTTTCTGGTCATGTTTATGAGGGAGCCCCACCTTTTCTTGTATGTTCTCCCTCCCTAAGTGCTTATTTAAAAAAAAAGGCCAAAAAAGAAAACCTCACAACAAAATAACAGCCAGTACTTTATGCTTTTTGTTCAAAACCTCAGAATTTTGATTTTTCCTTCTGTCTTCCCTTTCAGCCCAGCTTGTTTAGATTTTAAACCTTTCCCAAGAATTTTAGATTTGCTTTAATTTTTCTTTGAAGCACGTATTAAGCATTGCTCATTCATCATTTTTTTCTCTCTAAATGGATTGTAGTGCTCTGTGGCTTTTTGATGCCTTTTTAATATGGATTTTATTTACCTTTTTTAATGTAGTACTTGTTTCATTATTTTTGAAATATTTTGTTTACTTATTGTTTTTGCTTTTTTAAAATTTGTCTTTTTAGTGATGTAAGCTGTCTTGGGTCAGTTTTATGAGAAAGGCAGAGTAAAGATATTTCAGATAAATGAATAAATAGAGTGTTGGACTGGACCTCAGGAAACCTGGGATTGAATCCTGGCTTGGTTGTGGAAACGTGGTGGGGGCAGGGAATAGTATCCATTTATTTATTGGATTTATACCCGCGCCATCTGGCAACCAGACCACTCTGGGCGGCTAACCACAAAATAAACAGCACAATATCAAAACACGAGATAAAAATAAAACAATTCATGCATTCAATAAATAAATAACCAACAGGATAAATTAAAACAGATGGCAATGAAAGTGGTAAAAAGGATGATGAAAAGGATGGCAAAAAAGGCTAGTAAAAGAGAGGGCGAGATCTTGGAAAACTACTGCTCAGGGAAAGCCTTGGGAATACTTCAGTAACCGTACCCAATTCATCCCTCTTTCCCTTTGCTGCTTCTGCCGTGCAAGTTGCTTCCTTAGTTTCTGTCTCCTCAGCGCCAGCAATGTGTCCCATACGGTGGTCTTGAGACCCTTGAAAGCCGGCTACTTCAACTTCACCTCTGCTACGATCACCTACCTGGCTCAGGAGGGAGGTCAAGTGGTGGTAAGTGACCCTGGTCCCGGGGCCAAAGTCTTGAATGCAGGAGAAGCCCACAGATCTCAAATTCACTGGTTGGGACTCCTGTGCATTATTTATACAGTATTTGCCCTTGGTCCAAGTCATCCTGAAATGGACCGTAGGAGTCATCTAAATCCACCCCAGCTCAATTTAGGATCTACAACTTAGGGTGCAAACAGAGTGTCCCCGATAGATGGCCAGTCATCTTCTCCCTAAATCCCTTAAGAACTGCCTCCCAAAGCAGGCTGTCTGTTTTCCAGTGGGTTTCCACTTTGATGACACTCCTACAGAGGTGTAGCTGAAAGTAGACTTCTCTGCAGATTTGGAGTTCTAGTGAATTCAGAGGGTGAAAAGATCATAGAGTCACAGAATAGTGGAGCTGAAGGGGCCTATAACCCACTACTCCGGCCAGGAATCAAAATTGAAGCAGATCTGACAGGTAGCTCTCCAATTTTCTCTTGTATGCCTCCAGTACTGAAGTGCTCACCACTTCCCATAGTCATTGGTTCCATTCTTATTCTAATCTTAACAGTTAAAAGGTTTTTCCTGATACTGTACAGCCTAAATCTGGCTTCCTGTCACTTTAACCTGTTACTACGAATCTTGCAGTCTGGGATGATCAAGAACAGATCCTGCCCCTGCATGACAAGTACAGCAGGACCCCCATATCCGCTGGATCCATATCCACTGATTCACTTATCCACGTTCTGAAAATCCTCAATGAATGATATTAAAAGACAGAAATAATATTTTCACTTGTTTTAGAGGAACTGGCCACTAGAGGCACCCAGAGACATTGCTATTAATTCTTGTTATCTTGTGGATATATATATATATATTTCATTTACCACTGGGGTTCACAAACTTTTTCAACTCCTTTCCTCCCCTTTTCCTCTGGCCCTGCCCTCCCAGATCCCAGGAAGGGCTTGGAACCAATCCCCCATGGATATGGGGACCCTTCTGTGTTTAAAAGGTGGTATCCTATCTCCCCTCAGATGTTTCCCCTCTGTGTGTTGAACCTCATTCCTGTAATTTCTGACCATGTTAGGTGGAGCTGATACGAAGCCCGAAACATGTTGGAGGACCAGAGATTCCCCATCCCCTGTCTTATGGGAGATGATATTTTATCTGATCAGCTAAAGTTTGAAGGGAATTGTGGGCTGGGTTGCAATAATCTTATTCCTGCTTAGGGGATGGGGGAACTCTCCCTTGTGGCCAAGTGCTCTAGGACAGTGGTCCCCAACCTTGAGGCCTCCAGATGTTCTTGGACTACAACTCCCAGAAGCTTTCACCACCACCTCTGCTGACCAGGATTTCTGGGAGTTGAAGTCTGAGAACATCTGGAGGCCCAAGGTTGAGGACCACTGCTCTAGGAGATCACAAGCAGTTTTTGTGTAGAGTTTTGAAGTCATTGACTAGTGATATGGCCTCATTTTTTTTTAAAAAAATAATTCTTGTCCCTCATACTTCTTTCCAGGTTGGCTTCACCAGTGCCCCAGGACAAGGAGGCATCCTGGCCCAGCGAGAATTTGATCGGAGATTTTCACCACACTTTGTAAGTAAATACAGAAGGGAGCTGGCCTCCCTGTCCACTAATCCTGACCTTGTCGGCCGGAGATAGAGAACTTACGGCACTCCAGATGCCCTGTTGAGTCGCAGTTGCCATCAGCTTTACATTATGCAACCAGTGGTAGTGGATCATGGGAATTGTGGTTCAGCCACATCTGGAGGGGTACCAATTGCTCACCTCTGCTGCCAGCCAAGCACCCTCCTAGTTAAACTCTCTCCATGCTAAGTTTCCTCAGGGATCCCTAAATAGATCTTATGTAGTGGCCGTCTATGATCCTGGCCCGGTTCCTTCCAATGGAATGGGTAGATGGTAGATTAGAATATACTGGTAGATTTCAGGATGTTTTGAAATAGATGGCCAGGGTTTTTAACTTCCAGTTGTTTAAAAATCGCAGGCTGCTCCCCCCACCATGATCTGCTGTGGCCGGCCCTAATCCTTCTCTCTTTGAGTCTCTATGTGATTCTCATTTTTAAAATCTGAGGAGTCGTGGGTTATCTTTGGTCAGTCCTCAGTGCCATTCTCCCTGTCTAGTCCGAGGGGATGGATTCTAAATCTAGGTCACCCAACTGCACATGTCGGTTTGGTTGCGGCTGGGTTAAGTATTTTGCCTTTGCGCTCTAAATCTTGCATCAAAATCTGCACACTCGGTCATGGTTTTGCACTTTTCTCTCGTTTACAACCCTTTAGGTTCTAGTAGTAAACGCAACACGGGGGGGGGGCTAGAACAAACTAGATACAGTGGTGCCTCGCAGAACAAGCGCACCGTAGAGCGATGAATTCGCTCTACGGTGACGCTTTTTCGATCGCTAATGCGATCGCAGAGCGACGGCCCCAATGGGCGAAAATCGCAATGCGAAGGTCGGTAAGCGGTTCGCTTACTGACCTTCGCTTTGCGACCCGCCGATTAGCTGTTCCGCAGCAACAAAATGGCCGCTGGAACAGCCGAAATGGCCGCGCGCAGCGTTTTCGAGCCCTCGTTAAGCGAGGGGAGGGCGCGAAAATGGCTGCCGGCCATTGAAAAACTTCGCTGAACGGTGAGTAAATCAGCCGATTGGACCGCATTAAACTAAGTTTAATGCATTCCAATTGCTTTTTTCTTACCGCTCAGCGATGTTTCACACAGCGAGGGTTAATCCGGGACGGATTAACCTCGCTGTGCGAGGCACCACTGTACCATGCACCCAAAGGGGCTTTGGTCAGTGTCCGAGCCTCTATTATAACTCTGCCTGAAACCATTGTTTTCTGGAGTTTGGTACTGGAGGCTTTGAGGTCACAAAAATGCCCTTGACAGCTGTATGGACCCCACTGGCTATGTGTTGTCTGACCCTGTTTTAGAGAACAGCAGGGAGCAGACGAAGGGAAAGGATCTTGTCCTATCTTGGACACTGGAGATACACTCTTAGTTTTTATTATCTTATTTTAAAAAAAATTATTATTACATTTATACCCGGCCCATCTAGACCGACGTCTACTCTGGGCGGCTAACAATAATAGTTAAAAGTAAAAACAATACGATAAAATAAAAATAGCAGTAATAATACAGTTCAAGATGGGGGAAATAATCAGATGATGACAGGAGGGAAAGCCTGCCTAAAGAGCCAGGTCTTAAGCTGGCTCTTAAAAACACCCAGCGAGGGAGCCAGGCAGATCTCTGCGAGCAGACGGATCCAGAGGCGAGGGGCTGAGAAGGACCAATTTCTGGTTCTTTCTCTCCGGGCCTCCCTCGGTGTTAGGCCCCTCGGCCACCCTTCTTGGCTAGAACAAGTGATTCGGGTAGATCTAGGTGGGAGGAGGCGTTCCGCTAGATACCGAGGCCCTAAACCATTTAGGGCTTTATATGTCATCATTAACACTTTGAAATCAATGCGGAAACGAACGGGCAACCACTGCAATGTCCTCCTGTGCTTAAGTGGGAGGGATCGTATCTCTCTGGACAAAATACTTCCTTGGCACGTGGCTATTGTTGGTTTCAGTCTCTGCCATCTTCAGTTCAAAGAAGCACTAGGTAGCAGGTGACAAGGGAGAGATTTCTGTCGGCAAGCCTGCTCGGGGTGGACAACTGGGCTGGATGGATGGATGAACTGCACTTATAGAAATCTTAGGAGGGTCTCTTCTCCAAGAGCCGCAGAAGGTGTTTGACGGCCCCAAAAGTGGGCAGAGCAGTCCTCTGACACGGATCCCTTCCCAACTAATTCCTTTTTTCCTTTTTCCTTTTTGTCAAGCTGGACTGGGCGGCCTTCGGGGTCATGACGCTTCCCTCCATTGGCATCCCGTTGCTTTTGTGGTATTCAAGCAAAAGGAAGTACGACACCCCCAAGACCAAGAAGAACTGAGTAGCGCCAACTGTCCTCTTCCAGTTAAAGTTAGAGGTTTATTCAGGTGGCCGAAGCAGCCTGGCTACCCTCATGCATTCAAACAACATGTCAGAGGGGTTTGTAAGCAGCTGTTTCCATCTAAGAAGCTAAACTTGGCCCCTAGAATGGCTGTAAGACTTTGGGGCTTCAATCAAAGTATATAATTTTGGAACTACCCATAAGAACTTGGTGCACAGCCTGGCGAAGATGACTTATTGAGAGCTTGATGTTTCTTTGTTTCTTTTCAGTTGGGTTTAAAAAAAATTTTTTGTGGTCCAATAAAGGAATCGCCTGTTCCCACATTTGTAAAGTTTGGGGTTTCCTTTTCAGCATTCATGGGACTACAAGGAAGATGCAAAGATGCACAAATGATGTGGAGAAAGAAGGAAGAACCTGCATGAATTTGACCTGAGTTTTGTAGCCAAAATTTTTTAAAAAATCAGTTATGCATCTGATGTACACTCTGGATTCATTTATTTTACTTTCATTAATGGAAGCACTTGGTACTGGGCAGCAGTAAGAATAAAGCAAATATCCTTTTGACCCCTTTTAGGAGGAAGGTGGAATATAAATATTTTAAATAAGTAAATAGTAAATAAATCTCTGCCCAAAGGATCACAAGTGACGAAAGTCAACTAAAAGAACGAAGGAGTTGCTGGAGAGGACAAAAGAGGGACAGAAAGCTGGGATGCCTGAGAATGGCCGAACTAGAGGGAGGGACCCCCAAAGATCATCCAGTCCAGCCCCTACCAAGGAGGCCCAGTCGGGAATCGAACTCCCAACCTCTCGTTCCACAGCCAGGAGACGTAAAACCTCTGAGCCCTCTCTTGTGAACTGCCTTCTCGCACTTCACTTCTTCGCCATGCAAAATGTTGTACCTTACTAAGATAAATGTCTCTCCAGGTGTGTTATCTGGGCAGGAGTTGGGAGAACTATTATTTGTGAGACTTTTACTTCACACTGCAATACCAACAAGATTCTGGCTATTGCATTTAATGGGGCTTTTTCTAATCCTAAACATTATTCTAATCCTAAACAACTACTGTTGTTTTGTATTTTATTATATCGTTTTAATTCTGTCTATTATTGTTAGCCGCCTAGAGTAGACTTCGGTCTTGATGGGTGGGGTATAACTTTAATAAATAAATAAATAAATAAACTCTGAGGGCATCAGTGCATGCACTTATGTTCTCCAAGATGTACTGCCTGAACTTTCTGACTACCCTTGAAGTTGACCTGGAGACTGCAGTGGGTTTAGCAAGAAGCCACCAGGTAAATTTGAGTATATTTGACCAAATCTTCCCCAGTCTTGGCTTGTCTGCACTGGTTACCTGTGTCACCTCCGGTCAAGTTCAAGGTTTTAGTGTGCTTACCCTTTACAGTTTGGGACAGTTTGGGAGCCCATAACCCTCAGAGTGTCTTTCCCAAGGATATCTCCCACTCGTGCCACCAGATCTTCTCCAGCCATGCTCCTCTGGAGGAGCCCAGGAGAACGTACACAAGGTGTCGGGCATCCTTGGTTGTGGCACCAGCCCTTTGCAGCCGACTCCTGGCTGAGCTATGCCTGGCCCCCTCCCTAAGAGGTTGTGCAAGAAGCAGAAGAACCCTGCTTTGTCTTGAGGAGAGGGTCACCAAATCCTTCTCCTGGGCTCAAATCATAACATGCCTCAGCCTCACATAGTAGGAGTAAGAACTTGTTAGACCTTTCCGGAAAAAATAATTTCATCATTTTGTTGTAAGTACATGGCAGGCATTTCCTGATACATGTTAGACATGTTTTTATGGGCATGTTAAATCCACGGATAAGGACCTTATGTCCGGACGGGTGCTGAAATAATAGATCTGGAAGCCAATTCTTCTGAAGGGACCACGGAGGAAGAGAAGATGTTGCAGAGATGTTCAAATACCCAAAGGCTGTGATGAAGGAGATGGAGCAGATCTGTTTTTCCAGAGAGCAATAAAATTTGGAAACTTAATTTTTAAAATACATTTCTTTCCATGAGGAAGTAATCTGCTGTGCAAGGGAGCCAGAAGGGATGGGGGGGGAGGTGAGGGAGATTGTCCGTTGGACCCTGAGGCCATAAATCCCTGAGGGAGAGAGTCAAGGAGAGAGTCTGAGGTGAAATGTCAGTTAGAGAGAGAGAGAGTCAGAGAATCTGTGAGGAGTTCAGGGAGGAATTTGAGAGGATAGAATTTAAGAGTTTTGAAGAAGAGGGGCCGGACCCCTCCTTTCCCCTTCCCTCATGAACCAGATCTAATAAATCTTCTGCTCCTTTTCTCCACACGGCTGCCTGTGGGGGGGGAAATGGCTGCCTGCCTTTTTTAAACCTTCCTGAGAGCCGGATCCTGATTTTGGAGCGTTTCCCCAGATTTCTGGCCCTTCAGATCTTTGCTTGATGTTTTAGGATTTAACCACTGACTCTCTGGGGCTCTTCTTATTTTCTCTCGCCTGTAAAAGCGAACAAACAGATTCCCCACAGACCTCATTCAGTCACCTTCAGAACAACACCCAACGCTTATGCGTAATCTGACCAGAAGGAAAAAAATATATCTGATTTTTATTTTTTTTATCAATGTGATCCCTTTTGCTTAAATCACATTTTAGTAAACATTATATAATAACTTTGATGCCTGTGATGTTTCAGGCTTCACATGGTGAACTCAGTCATGTTGGAGGATTTTAATACATTTAGATGTTCAATTATTGCATTTGTATATTTGTGTTTTTGTGTAAACCACCCAGAACACACATGTCTTAGATGGTATATAAGTCTAATGAAAATAAATAAAAATAAATTGGAGTATGCAAATCCATAACGTCTCAGTAGGCAGGGGCTAATTCTGCCAATCACTCCGTTCAGCCATGTCAACCCTACACATGGTGTTATGATATGGGAAATGGGGTTTAGTCCTTAATAAACATGTATAGGACCAGAACCTAAGAGTGTTTAATTAAGTAGTTGTGAATAGGTGGGAAATATTAAACAAGACAAAAAGAAAAACAATTCTTAGTGTACAAGATTCAGTGAAAGGCAGACCATTACCATGTAAAAGAAGGCATGGACATTGGTATAAGGCAGGTTTTTTTCTGCAATTACAATTCCAATTACAGTGGTGCCCCGCATAGCGAGGTTAATCCGTTCCGGATTAACCCTCGCTATGCGGAATCGTCGCTAAACGGGTAGGGAAAACGTATTGAAACGCATTAAACTTAGTTTAATGCGTTCCAATACCTTGCTTACTTACCCGTTCAGCGAGGATTCCCCTTGCCGGCAGCCATTTTCGCGCCCTCGCTAAGCGAGGCCAGGGCGTGAAAACAGCTGCCGGCAGCACTCTGGCAGCATCATGCCACCCTATGGGGCCTGCCTATCACCTGTGGGGGGGAAGCACCTTTCATCTGCTTATCAGCTTCAAGTTTGGACTGGGTGAGGGCCACAGATGCCCATCCATGCCTGCATGCACATGCAGACACAGAGAGAGGATAATAGGGTTGCTCAGACTAGGAGAGAGGCAATCCTGTTCCAGGGCTCTTGCTCAAGGCCATTGCAGGGAATAAGAGAGGAGGACCCAAAAGCCTTCTTCGTCCCTCGGGAGAACAGCTTGTGCACCAGCCACTGCTTCAAAGAGAGACCGGTGGGAAGAGACCCACCAAGGAGCTCCTTGTCCTGAAAAGGAAGTTTTGCTTCCACACCTTGCTTTGTCTTGTCCGGATCAGGAGAGAGGACAACTGCTGGAATTTCTGCCTCCATCCTTCAATGTTGTTTCAGTT